TACCTTTTCAAGGGTGATCATTGTATGAAAATTACAACCAAACAGACTTGCAGCTGCCAATAAAAAAGACCTTCAATGAAGTAATCTGAGGCTTATCACAACAAACCCAATCGATCTCAGTTACCCCAATCAAGTCTCCAACACCGATTCAGTCCAAAATCCCAGTATTTACCAATTCACATGTAACTGCGGAGAAAGTTACTTAGGTAGGACAGATCGCCGATTGGAAGACAGGATAGGGGAACATATTCCAAAATGGCTAATCAAATCCATGTTTCATCAACCTAGCCCATCATCTCAAAATCGATCAAGAAACCCAGCCTCGTCCATTGCAAAACATCTAATGATGAGTGGTCATCAAATTGACCCAAAATCAGTCTTTAGAGTTGTGACATGTCATCAAAACCCACACACACTGAAACTACTCGAAGCTATCTTGATTGGTCGGAAAAGTCCAACTTTATGTGTTCAAAAACAACTAACTGTATGTTGACCTTTGTTTACCATGGTTCTAGTGAGTGAATGTCATGCTAAATAAGAAATTTTGACCTTATCTTCAAAACTGCATTTACACAAATGGCAATTCATTCTATAAAGCAGATTATTTGTGTCATTTTCATTTTAATCAGTTTATTATTATTCTGTTTGTGTTACCGGCTGAAATTACATGCCTACATGTAAAATGACAATTATTTTTGAGCAGATTATCAGTTGTAATAATGTCACACGATGTCACTGTGTTATGATATTTCTGGGTAATCGATGATATTTGATCGATTTTTTTTTTCACTGTAACAACTACACACTCCTTTGATATAAGTGAATAGAGGGCTTATAATCAATCAGATTTTGCGTGGTCTTAATGAATACATTTATTGATATCTGTAACCATTTCCATATATAACTAGTATGAATAGTTCCGGTTTTGTATTGCTGCTGCCTGACACAGTTGCATCGACATAGCTATTATATATTATTATTTAGTCTATCGAAGTAATCTCCGAATGGATTACACAAATTTAATTCTGATATGCTCGTCAATTGAAAAGCTTGGAGCTATTTATTACGAGTTCGCCTTACTCGGTAAATGGAGCGCAGATCAATAATGCAGTGGTGACACGATAGGTTTATTTTAATCCGTTGTCGCATTCTTGATAAGGTGTACAAAAATGTATTCTACAAGCACTCAGAAAATACGAGGTTGACAAGCACACAAATCGAGTTCATTTTATACATAACAGAAACGCTCTTGGGTGAGCCACAAAAATAGAGTGTTAAAATCATCAACCATCATCAACCAATGATAGTAAAGGATTTTCCGATTGGGAAAGATAAGCTGAAGGTCGACCAAGCAACTTATGCGAGTGTAAACATGAAAAAAATCACAAATTAGGACCTTTACCGAGTGAGTTTTTGGGATCTAACGTCCCCACAACTAATTCCGTTTTCTCACTATTTATATAATGGCCATTAATCTTCATTAAACTTAACATAATATGTAAATTACCGTTTCATCATAGTATAGCATACATGAAGTTAGAATTAGTTGTAAAATAAAATGAAATTGTTAATATTATTGACATGACTAATAAACAGATGTTAACTTGAATAAATTTATACGTTTAATGAAATGGTGACATCAATGGTCGATCAAATAATGAATATGGGGCACATAGAATGAAAGAAATAATGAAGTAGTAGTAGTAACCAAATGCGATCGAATGCTTATAATTTTGCTAACAGTCAAAATCCAAGGTACGTGTTTCGTCTTACCTAGGGACTTGTCAGCTTGATGTAGTTAGTAGATGCATCCTTGAATGGATGGTCAAACGGATTACAATATCCAATAAAAACAACACAAGGAACACTTAAGCGATACTCACTAAAGCTACTTAAGCTAAAAACAATCAATAATTGACTCAAAATATATGGATACATTGTTAAAATAATGAATCAATCATTGTTAGATCATCATAAGAAACCTGTGTGGTGTGAGCTACTTGTAAGTAGTATATGACGAGAGTGTCAACGTCATGTCTAGCAGCAGAAGATGGGGGAACATCAAGAAAGGAAGAGTTAGAACACAATGGAATTTGTATGAAACGCATCGTGAATAGTGACCATAATGGATTGATGTTTTGCAACAGGAACACTCCAGTTCGATATGATGGACTGATATTTTGCAAATGAACGATTTACGATATGGTTTTCCGATTTTACTGAGTAACTCTGTAATTATCGTTAAACACAATTCGGCTGCCCTCACCTGTGTTCTCGTTTACTACACCTGGAAGCATTGGATGGCCGATTCGTCCTACTATATACGACTACTCATCAGCAGTGCGCATCTATGTATGACACACAGTCGCGTGAGAATCCTTTAACCTCTAGACCACCGAGCCAGCATGCAACGGTGTTAATGTGTAACTGCGATCAATCCACACGGTATTCGGCAACTTCACCTATTTATTGTCTTCGGTAGATAACTAACTGCCTACACCTGACAGGGTTGAGAAATCCACTGATCACACAGCTTCTCAGTAAAAAAACTCTACACCAAGCTAATCCCTCCTGAACGCAATGATGCATTCATAATTTCAATAAAAACTCAACAATCTTCACAACTCTATAAGAAAAAAAAACACCTGTTATTATTTATATGTCATTACAGAAATTGATCAGTCTCTGTGTTTTGTAATATTGACATCCTGAATGAAATTTCATCTCAATACAGTTGAATACAATTTAATACACTTACATTCAAAATCATATTCCAAATAATCACGAACAGCTTTAGTTGCCCGACTAATCAATGTATTTTCTTTGAGAGGTGAATTTACATTGCTAATTAATGTTGCATTGTTTGTTGGGTTTGAATTATTTCTTCTATCTTGTGCATTTTCTTCCATATTGTGAAAGTGATCTTAAATCACTTTGATATAAATCAGTAAATCAGTAAATACGACGATATATCACCTACTTCTTTTCAAGTTAGGTAGGTGTAAACACTGGTTAACTTTAAGAATTGTATCAGTTTGACATTGATGCTTGTTGACTACAATAACAACACCATACCAAAGAGTATCTGAAAAATAATTGAGTTGATATGATATGAGAAGTTAATTAGCACGTCTCCCTATCGAATTTTTTTTTATGTAAAAATCAACCAAGCTTCCAACACAACTAATAGAGTTAAATCCAAACTTGAGGTACACTGTGCGGACACAAGTGTTCAAAAGAACCAAATCTTGATTCCAAGTAGTTTTACAATCTCTAACCATCTAAACATATCAAGATACCGCATGTAGTAGTGTAGAGTAAGTAATTCAGACTAGTAACCTACCTTACTGCGATTTGACAGATAAAATTTGGTCGATCAGATAAACATGATACTACTGGTCATCACTCAATGGCCAATTATTTGTGCTTTTATATAGTCAGTCAGTCAGATGCAACGTAGAACTTCGTAAGTAAGTACATCAGTTCATGTCGCCATACCACATCAGCATAGAGATATAATTGTCAATTCGAATCCAATAGTAGAAGAGGTAGTGAAGGTATTAGAAGTAATCGGAGAGGTTAGGATTAGAAGATATGATTCAAGAAGTATGATTCAGTGAGAAAAGTTTAGAAAGTCAAAACTAGAGGGGTTGACGAATCCAGAAGATAACGATTTGAAAGAACACAAAGAATAAATGCACTGGCGCCATTACAAAACGATTTTGAGCCACGTCATTCAAGGTCTCTAACCATCGATTACTATCATCTCGCGGACCACAAACAGGTAGTCGACAATTACCGACATGACTCAGTCCACTTGTCAATGAGTTCATGGATTTCTGCCATGTTTTGGTTTGGCCGCCCCTAACTTTCTTCCAACCTATTCCTACACTACAAAACAAAGCTCGACGAGGCAGTCAGTGGTTGGGCATACGGGTGTGCATTTTTATATAACTATTAATTTATTTGAGTGACGTATGAACAACAGATATTTTGATTGAAGCCCCCCCCCCCCAAAAAAAAAAAGAACAGAAGTCGATGACTAAAACAACTTTGGATTGTATAGTTTAAAAACTAATTAATCTGAAATCAGTACTGCGTAGTTAGTTATAGATAACCGACAATAGACATAATTTTAGTATTCGTTTTATGTGTCTAAGACAAGATTTTCACGATGAGACTTCTAAATCACATTTACTCCTAAATTAAACTCATCAATGTACCTTCTTATAATAAGTGAAACAATGGCATTCATCAAACCCTGTTTGTTGTTCATACTTGTGAAACAATTCGAAATATTCAATACACAATGGATGATGTATGCAAATACACTTCAAGTGAACTTGTATTATACTCCTATTGACCAAGCCCCCATACTAATGAAAAGACAAGGGAAAGTTAAAAGTCTGTTACCGTTCTAACAAACGATAATACAGGTAAAAAAAGAAACGGGTGATTATTATTTCTATCATTTATAGGCTATGCTTGAGAAAACAAGCTATTTTAGGATGCGAGTTTAAATATGCCAAATTCAGGGGCGCTTATTTAGTTTAAAAAGTGAAAGCTTAGATTTTTCAATATAAACCTAAATTTAGTTGGAACGATTACAATCTAGAATTTATCAGTCAGTTAGTCAGTTACAACACAGAACTTCGTACGTAAGCACATCAGTTCAGGTTGGCATACCGTATTAGCACAGAGACGCAATCGCAAATTCCAATCCCATAGTGGTAGACGTATTAGCGGTAACGGAGAAGATTAGGGCTTGAAGACAATATTCAAGAAGTACAATTCAGTGAGATAATTAATTTAGAAAGTGAAATATAGAAATAATGATGAGGAATTCTGAAGATTAGAATTTGACAGAACACAATGAATGAATGAATGCACCTTCGCCATTGCAAACAATTTTGAGCCATGTCGTTCAAAGTCTCAAACCATCAGTGACTTTCGTTTCGTGGACCCTAACCAAGTAGCCTACATCATCTCTACCAACATGAATCAGTTCACTTGTCAGTGATTTCAAGGATTTGTGCCATGTATTTAGTCTGGCCGCCCCCTAGCGTTCTTCCTGCCACGGTCATGGTAGCAGCGCTACAGTCAGGGAATATATATTATTTTAGTTCAAATTTTCCAAGTTTCAACGACTTCAGTCACATACCAACTAGTACTGTAGTGAACGAGAACACAGGTGAGGGCAACTGAATTGTATTTAATCGAAAATTACAAAGTTACTCAGTAAAATCGGAAAACCATATTGTAAATCGTTCATTTGCAAAATAACAGTTCATCATATCGAACTGGACTGTTCCTGTTGCCAACAACATCAATCCATTGTCACTATTCATGATGCGTTTCATACAAATTCCATTGTGTTCTAACTCTTCCTTTCTTGATCTTCCCCCTCATCTTCTGCTGCCAGACATTACGTTGACGCTCACGTCATATACTACTTATAAGTAGCTCACACCACACCAGTAGTAAACAAACATTCTTTTCTTTTCAAGTTATCAATGTCATTTTTTGTAACAATTCAAACAGAAACAAACATACAACAAATAAAAAAATCATTAAAAAAATAACACGAAAATTCAAACATCAACGTTAACCATCTATCTCTATAAATAAATAAACACTAAAGAAGAACGAAACACAAATCTAATAAAATAGCATGAATTTATTTTGTTTTTTTATTTAGAAAATAAAAATTTATCTAATGTACATGATTAGGGCATGTGCGTGTGCGTGTCTGTGTGTGTGTGTGCGTAACACACACACACACAGACACGCACATACATGGCACTACACACAATCCAATGAAAAATAGCATAATAATAATAACTACATATAAGAATCTCAATTACATGCATTCACTTTGTTTATTTCTTTTTATTTAAAAATGATTGAATTCCTTGTTTGGTTTCATTGAATTGTAAATTTTCTATCATTGCATTTGAAGCTATAGCATATGCTTCCATTAATGGCATAGACACCTTATCATAAAGGGGAAAAAGAAAACAAAACAAAAGACGTAAAATAACATTTTTTTTAAAAAAACCAGATAAAAAGACACCAGTCAGTCAGTCACATGCAACGTAGAACTTCGTAAGTAAGTACATCAGTTCATGTTGCCATACCATATCGACACAGAGATGTAATTGTCAATTCAAATCCAAGTAATCGGAGAGGTTAGGATTAGAAGATACTATTCAAGAAGTATGATTCAATGAGAAAGTTTAGAAAGTCAGAACTAGAGGGGTTGAAGAATCCAGAAGATTAGGATTTGAGAGAACACAAAGCGTAAATGCACTGGCACCATTGCGAACGATTTTGAGCCATGTCATTCAAGGTCTCTAACCATCGATTATTATCATCTCGCGGACCACAACCAGGTAGTCGACAATTACCGACATGGCTCAGACCACTAGTCTATGACTTCATGCATTTGTGCCATGTTTTGTTTTGGCCAACCCTAGCTTTCTTCCAACCTATTCCTACACTACAAAACAAAGCTCGACGAGGCAGTCGGTGGTTGGGCATACGCAGCACATGTCCCAACCACCTCAAATGATGAAGTTACAGCACTTCATCTATTGATCTAACATTCTTATCTAGCACCAGTTTCCTAATAACAGCGTTGCTCACTCCGTTGTCCCACAATACACGAGCAATGCTTCGAAGACACCTATGATCGAAAACCAGTAACCTACGAATTTCCTCTACTCTTACTGGCCATGTTTCACAGCCATAAAGTAAGACGGAGCGAACTACTGCGCAGTACACTCGTCTTTTAGTCAGCAAACGGATATCACGCCTACGCCATAATTGACGCAGGTTGGAAAACACCAATCGATCATTCTGTGTCCGTACTGAGATTTCGTCAGTCACCAGACCGTCAGCACTGATGAAACTCTCAAAATAAGTGGAGCGGTCGACACGCCCGACTACTTCACTCCCTATCACTAGTTCAGGTGCCAATGCAACCCAGTCTTGAAGCAACATTTTGCATTTCGAGGGGGAAAACCGCATCCCGAACATGCTCGCATTGTTGCTTATGGTAGTCAGAAGACTCTGCATTTTGTCAGCGTCTTCACCGAATAGAACTACGTCATCGGCATATTCTAGATCAGTAAGCGACTTTCCTGGTAGAAGGTCAACCCCTGAAAAATCTGACGAGCTTAATGTTAACTCTAAGAGGATGTCTATGATAAAATTAAACAAGAATGGAGTGAGTGGATAGCCCTGACGGACACCACTTGTTGTAAAGAATTCAGATGACAGTTCGCCATATGCTCTCACTCGACCAGTGGTGTTCGAGTAAAGTGCTTGTATAAGGTTAATGTACTTCTCTGGTACACCTTTCAATGACAGACACTGCCACAGAACCTCACGATCCACTGAGTCAAATGCCGCTTTTAGGTCCAGGAACACGACTATTGTAGGACGCCTAAATGTGTGTCTGTGTTCCAGGACCTGTTGTAGTGTGAAGATGTGGTCTATACAACCACGTCCAGGTCGAAAACCAGACTGGTTTTCTCGAGTCTGCTCTTCACGAGCTCTAGTGAGACGCCTAAGCATAATGGAGGCTAACAATTTAGAAACTATATTAGTTAGAGTTATTCCCCTGTGATTGTCACAAGAGGACTTTTGTCCTTTCTTGTAGATTGGGACAATTAGCGACTGAGACCAGTCAGATGCGATTACGTCCAGTTCCCAGATTCTACCTAGGATTTCAGTCAACCTAGCTGCTAAAACTGGACCACCATCCTTAAATATCTCAGGGGTCGGTCTATCAGGACCTGCAGATCGCCCTCGCTTCAGATTTCCTAACGCTTTTTCAATTTCATTAAGACTAGGGGGACTTACGTCGATTTGCCATTCAGGATGACTGGAGATCGTGGGTAACCGAAGAGTGGCTCGAGGCCAGTTGAACTGATCTTTAAAGTGTTATGCCCATCAGTTCAGTCTCGTGGATTGAGAATGGATAATAAGACCATCCTTTTCCGAGATAGTCTCACTTACATTCGGGTTCCTAATACCGGTTTCTTTGATAAGGCGGAAAAGTTGTCTAGTGTTGCCGATCGCCGCTGCCTCTTCCATCGCTTTCGCTTTCGCCACCCACCACTGTTCACGGTCGTTACGTAGGCTTTTTACAAGTCTGCACCTAAGCTGACTACGCTCTTCATCATGTTCAGAGTCAGGTGGGATGCGTTTTCGAACATCCATCAGTTCGGTGGATGCGACCGAAATCCACTGCTTCATCCTAGCCTTGTGGTTTACCTTGCTAGCAGATACCATTGCTGTTTCCACAGCCTTCTTGATATGATTCCAACCTGCTTCAGGATGGGAATCACTTGCATGGCCGCCTAACTGTTTTTCTAGTTGTTCCTGAAATATTTTCTTAGCTTGATTATCACCAAGTAAAGCCCTAAGAGGCTTTCTTACGGTGTTTTTCCTATGTCCAGCAAGCCTCAAACAAATACGTGCTCGCACTAGGGCATGATCTGAATTTAAACATGTGCCCCAGAACGAGCGGCAGTCTTCTATCGAACCACTCCATCGGTGGCTGATGGCGATATGATCTAGTTGTGTCCAACGTTGAGACGACTTAGGGGGTCGCCAGGTCAAAAGGTGTTTTTCCTTATGCTTAAAATTAGTGTTTGCTAGAAATAGTTTGTTATCTGAGCACAGTTGCAATAGACGGTCGCCATTGTCTGTTCTTTGAGCCGCGAAACCGTAATATCCACCTAGGTGTCTTTCATTTTCACTTAGTCTACCTACTTGTGCATTGAAGTCACCAGCCATTATAACTATATCAGAGCGCTTAACTTTTTGGAGAAGGTCCGAAAGCTTTCTGTAAAACTCATCTTTTACATAATCTGGGCTGCAGTCAGTGGGGGCGTAGGCTGATATGACGAAGAGGCAACGACGAGTGTCCCTATCTTTCCGAGCCCTTACTGTCTCGTTCAGTCGGACGGCGCACAAGCGACTATCTACTGGGATCCGGTCAAGGAGAGATTGTTCTGCCCTACGACTCAATGCTATACCTACACCGGCGAGGCCCCTAGAAGCAGCATCAGGGCTACCGGATATACGAAGGGTAAATCAAGCTGCTTCTTTATCTTGACATGGTGAGGTGAAATGAGTGATCCTACTCGGATCCTGTATGCGCGTTTCCGAGACGCAGCAAACATCGATGGAACGAGATTCTAAAGTCCTAGCTAATGATGCCTGTTGCCCTATTTGACACAATGTCCGTACATTGAATGCTCCAACATGTAGTTTGGAACGGGGTTTAAGGAGACCAGGAACGACGTTTCGCGAACTCGCATCGTTTGCATTAGCTGTGCACTGTGATAAATGAATATGAGGAGAGTTAGTCGTGGCGATAAGAGAGGTATTAGGGAATGTAGGAAGGATTTGATTTTGAACAATTTGGTCTCGTGTGCTGGTACGGGTATGAGGGCGGTTATCACTTCCCGGCTGCCCACACCGTGGAAGGTTGTTTCTTGAGGAACCTGAAAAGGAAGATAGATTAGTGTTGGTCTCGGAGACCTGGTTGCGTGACCGCAGAGTCCAAGGGACAACTGCTTGAGGCCGGTCACGCACGGCCTTTTTATGAAACGTTTTTTGAGGATTAGCTCCGTTCTTAAAGGCCCTTAGTGGGCACCCTTACCCAAGGAGACGGAAGTCCGTGAGATAGGGGAGGTGTGACATTTTTAGGGTCGACCTTTTCTAACCCTTCCTTCCTTGTGAGAAGGCAGCATCGCTGCAGATGCTGCTTGTTGTCCGAGGGAAACACCTTACTGCTGTCACACCCCTCTGCAGTCAGCAGTACAACTTCGCCCTCAGACGTTGGGTAGCTGCTTTTAGTCTCATCGTTCTCCAATCGACCTGCCTGGCATGGCAGGACCTGCAGGAACATGTGTTCCAGCCAGTATAGCTCGGTGGGTGATCACGATAGGCAAGCCCGACCACCACGTCAAGGTAGCAGCTTCGGTCGGGAGTTTATGGCATACCAAAAAGGACATAAAACTGGTCAATTCCCCTTACCACATTGCAAAATAGTTACTTGAACTTCTAAAATCACTGCACAAAAAAGTTGTTCAGCACAATAATGTTGGTGGATTTCAAAATTTGAGAGTAGAAATTAGCGCTGCCGTTTTCTCTCTCATTATTTTACTCGAGCAAACTATGAATATACATTTTAGAGTTACACATCCAACTAACAAATTCCAAATCAAACAGAACGTGATTGGCTGAATTAGTAGTCTTAGTATTTCGACTGGTAATATCTACAGATTTCTCCGAGATATTTATTATCAAACGCAAGGTAAATCACTTAGTGTTAAAAGGACGGTATGGTTTGTAAAAATGCCTAAACACAGAAAAAAACCAGAGAAAAATTATATTTTTCATAAACTTACTTGTTTGTGAAGAGTTTCACGACCTAATTGTATAACATTTTTATCATGTTGAGTAATTTCTTCGGCGAATTCAATAGATGCTTCATGTAGTTTGTCATCTTCAACCACACGATGAACAAGACCTAATTCATAGGCTCTAGCAGCACTGATACATTTACCTACAAAGAATAATAATTTTAAAGATTCCCACTGTGAAAATTAGAACAACACATATAAGCGAACATTATTGTTTTCGATTAGATCGTCATCAGGCTTTACTCTTTAAGTCAGGAGCTGGAATTCATCAACGACTCACTAACAGACATTGGTTATCCCAGCGCATTCATAAAGAAGTATATGTTTGTCGTAAAAAAAGAAGTCGGTGTTTTCGACCGCCCAAAAGAAGCCTTTATTTATGAAGCTACAATTCAACGGAGATGTGGCCTGCGATACTCTACAGGACAGATTAAGAAGAGTAATTAACAGAACATTCAACGCTGCCAAATTTGCATTGACTTTCTCCAGTCGACCTGCGATGTCTACTCGAACGAAGGATAAGTTACCTGAGCTGGCCTCCTCTATGTGCATTTACAAATTCAGCTGCTCCTGTGGAGATAGCTATATCGGGAGTACTTCCAGGCAACTTACACAACGAATGAGTGAACATCTCCCAGCATGGTTTACGAGGGTTCAGTCAAAAACAATACGCAATTCTATCTTATCACACATTGTAGATAAATCTAGATCTTTTTTGGTGATCTATCGTGTACCTACATCATTTTCCAATGGAGTTAGATCCCGTCTCCTACACATTGCAGAAGTCATAGGAATATGTACATTCAACCCTAATTTATGTGTTCAGAAGAAATTCGTGACACCCCTATCACTTCCGTGGCCGGATATGACGTAACTAACGATTGACATTATATTTCTATTTTATTGCTTATTACGTAATGTTTTTGATGTTTTTGATGATTATCTGAATTCTATTCATCCACCCTTGACCTACTTTAGTTATCATATTTTATAAATTTTCTTACTACTATCAGTACACCTGTTTTCCTACTATCCACTTGAACTTTTGCCTATTATATGTAGTTACGTAATCTTTTTCATTTCATTGTGATTATCACTCAAATTGCCTTGATTGGTTTAACATTTTCATATAAAGAATAATAAGTTTTATTCTTCTTCTTCTTCTTCTTCTTCTTCAGAAAGATCGCAGAGAATGGGATTGGGATTTTTTTTTGTATAGAATAAAATAACATTGATGATAAGTCGTCATGAGAAAAAAAATGAAATTATTTAGCGAGGAAATTTGTAGCGATTAGTCAGTTTAGTTTAAGGATATTTTCGTCAGGAACTGACATCACCTAGTGGAGTTAGTGTCGCTGACAGTTCACATGTCCATCGCAACAAGCATTCGCAAGTGTTAAATCATTAGGATTTTCTAAGCGTTGCTCGCAAATTATGTGTTATGATGAGATTTAAGAGTAATGTACTAGGTGAAAATTAGTCTGTAATCTTACATCCATCCATTAAGTGGTTAGGATATGTCAATCAGTTATAAGGTAGAAGAAATTCGTACGTACGTACATTAGTACAAGTTACCCTACCACATATAAAGAGGGATGCAATTGCCAAGTTAAATCCCATAGCAGTGGAGATAGTAAAAGTATTAGCAGTAATCAAAATGATTATTGATCGAGATGAGGTAGGACGGGGTGAACTGTTGCACAGAACACTGGTCCTTTGGTTAGCAGACGGATATCTCGTCTGCGGCATAGATGATGCAAGTTGGCAAAAGCAAATCGAGCTTTTTGTATCCGTGCTGAGATTTCGTCAGTCACCAGGCCATCAGCATTGATGAGACTCCCCAGATAAGTGAAGCGGTATACACGTTCGACTACTTCACTCCCTATCACTAGTTCAAGTACCGATGCAACCCAATCTTGAGGCAACATTTTGCATTTCGACAGTCAAAAGACTGCATTTTGTCAGCGTCTTCACCAGATTGGACTTTGTCATCAGTATATTCTAAGTCAGGAAGCGTGTCTCCTGGTAAAAAGTTCACTCCTGAAGAGTCAGACGATGATTATGTTATATCTAGAAGCAGGTCTATGATAAAATTAAACAAGAATGGAGAGAGTGGATAGCCCTGACGGACACCACTTGAAGTAATCAATTCCGAAGACAGCTCGCCATAAGCTCTCACTAGACCAGTATTTTCAGTGAAGAGAGCTTGTAGAAGGATAATGTACTTCTTCGGTACACCTTTTAATGACAGACACTGCCACAGAACCTCACGATCCACTGAGTCAAATGCCGCTTTGAGGTCCAGGAAAACAGCTATTGTAGGACGCCTAAATGTGTGTCTGTGTTCCAGGACCTGTTGTAGTGTGAAGATGTGGTCTATACAACCACGTCCAGGTCGAAAACCAGACTGGTTTTCTCTACTCTGCTCTTCAAGAGCTTTCGTCAGGCGTTGGAGTATCATCGAGGCTAACAATTTAGAAACTATATTAGTTAGACTTATTCCCCTGTGATTGTCACAAGAAGACTTTTGTCCTTTCTTATGAATTGGGACAATCGGGGACCACCACCAGTCTCAATCAGTGATTGAGACCAGTTCCCAGATTCTCTCTAAGATCTTAGTCTAACTTACTACTAAAACTGGACCAGCATCCTTATAAATCCCAAAGGTAAACCTGACAGGCCCTGCTGCTCTACGTCGCTTCCGATGTTCTATAGCCTTTCCAACTTCGTTAAGAGTCTGGGGACTTACATCAATTCCCTAATCAGGTTGACTGGAGATCGTGGGCAACCGAAGTGTGGCTAAACGCCAGTTAAACTGATCCCTGAAGTGTTCTACCCATCGATCCAATCTCCTGGATTGAGAATGAATGATACAGCCATCCTTTCCCGAGAGAGTTTCACTCACATTCGGGTTCCTAATACCGGTTTCATTGATAAGTCGGAACAGTTTACTGTTGCCTATCATCGCTGCCTCTTCCATCTCTCGTTACCCACCGCTGTTTGTGATCACTGCGTAGGCTTCTTATCAGCCTGTGCTTAAGCTGACTTCGCTCTTCATCATGTTCAGAGCCAAGTGGGATGAGTTTACGAGCACCTATCAGTTCGTTGGATGCTGCTGAGATCCGCGGCTTTTTGCTAGCGTTATGGTTTACCTTACTAGCAGATATCACTGCTGTTTCCACAGCCGTCTTGATATCATTCCAAGCTGCTGCGGGATGGGAATCATTTACATGGTGGCCTAACTGTCGTTATAGTCGCTCCTGAAATATATTCTTAGCTATGCTATCATTAAATAAAGTCTTAAGAAGTCTCCTTGAGGTGTTTTCCTACGTCTAGTAAGCCATAAACAAATACGCACTCGCACTAAAGCATGATATGAATCTAAACAAGTGCTTCAGAATGAGAGGAAGTCTCCAATAGAGCTTCTCCAACGATGTCTGATGGCAATGTGGTCTAGTTGGGTTGGCATTGAGGGTCGCCAGGTCGAGATGTTTTGCCTTATGCACGGGATCCCAGAGTCCTAGCTAAGGAAACCTGTCTCCCTACTTGACACGAGGTTCGAACGTTAAAAGATCCAACATGTGGTTTAGAAAGAGGTTTCAGGGGACCACGAATAACGTTTCATCAACTCAAATCGTTTCCATTAGTGGTGCAGGGTGATAAATGAATGTGAAAAGTATTAGCCGTGGGGATGAAAGAGAAGTTAGGGAGTGAAGAAAGCATTTGACTGTGACCGATTCGGTCTCGTGTGTCGTTACGGGAATAAGGGCGAATGTCACTTCCCGGATGCCCACACTTTGGAAGGGTAATTCTTGAAGAACATGAAAAAGAAGGCAGATTAGCGTTGGTCTTAGAGACCTGGAGCGTGACCACAGAGCCCAAGGGACAACTGTTTGAGGCCCGACACGCACAACCTTTTGATGGGTAGCTTTTAAAGTATTAGCTCCGCTCTTATTTAAAAGGCACTACCACCGGAGACGGAAACCCGTGAGGTGAGGTGAGATATGACATTTTGATGGTCAACGTTTTCCAACCCCCTCCTTCATTGTGAGAAGGCGGCATTGCTACAGAAGCTGGTTGTCCAAAGGAAACACCTTACTGCTGTCATGCCTCTGGAATTAGCAGTAAGTACGACTTCCGCCTCAGACCTTGCAGTTGCTGCTTTTAGTCTAACCATTTTCTAATCAACCAGTCTGAATGGTATAGTAGGACCTGCAGGAACATATGTTCCGGCCAATATTGTTTGGTTAGGTTATAATAATAGGCAAACCCGACCACCACGTCAAGGTAGCAGCTACGGTCGGATTTGATAAGAAACTCAATATCTAAACTAACAAACTTTAGTTTACCAGTATGAGCCGAAAAATAGTGTGTTTAGGGTGTTGAATTCCCCAAAACAACATTTAGAAAGGAAATAATTTTAAAATTCACACACACAGATTTGAAGTAAAAATTTTTTCTTTACTGAATTTCAATGAGCTTCCATTTGTACTGATTCATTTTGTACGAAGTTAATTGATTCAGTTTTTAATTATACATATGGAGAATAAATCTGCTGATTATTACCTGTTAAAAGCAGTTCGTTAGCAGCTCGTAATCCAATCGCTCGAACTAATGATACAGCAGGTGTACTACAGAATAATCCTAGTTTAATACCACCAGCTGAAAATATCGCAGATTTAGCTGATATTGCTAAGTCACAAGCTGCAACTAATTGACAACCTCCAGCAACAGCAGGACCATTTACAGCTGCTATCGATGGTATAGGAAATTCGGCTAATTCTTTCATAATCTAATAATTCAGAAAATAAACAACAGTATCAACTTTAGGATGCATTAATTTGTGTAACAAGTCAAATAAAATTAAATGTATACATATACTTGTTGAAGATAATGACTTTTACAATTAACTTCAAATTATATACTTTGTTTCTTCACAATTGATTGATCACTCAGTAGTAATGATCAGTTTCATATATGTCAAGTCTTTCTTCACTGCTAATTGAATTCTATCGGCCTAGTTATAATGTGGCTACTAGTTTAAGAGACCCGAAGTCGCAAACACTCTATTGAGATATAGAGTGGTAACTGGAGTTAATATAGTCAGGAAATTCTGAGCCTCGGTTTCCCACTAGTACGGTACATTATCTGTAGTCTCGAGGGCACTGAAGCTCCCTGATGGTCAGTCAATTGAATATACATCTCAGTTCTACAAGCGGTCAGTAGCGGACCTAATAGCTGGATGGCAATGGAGTGAACCCACCAGGAAGCACCAGTTCCATGAAAATTACAGGCAAACCTTACTGACGAGTTCCAAATAGCATGGAATCGAGGTTCAGGATTTCCTGGCGACTACTAGAAATGACGATGAGAGTAACTGTAGACATATACTTACAACCTTGTTGTAGATTAAAATTGAATAGGGCACGAAATTTTCCGATTTCGAGAGATTGGGAGAGTCTTCCATTATGAGACCGAGATCCATGCAAAATGGATCGCACTGTGTCTTATGAGACAGATATATTGATCAAGACCACAGACGAATTAAATTGGATTGGAGTTAATTGAACAAGTTAACGATTAAATATGCTGATGACTGATTTTAAAATGCATCAAACTGACTACTCGTCACTTGTACACGCATTGGTAATAAAATAAACCAAATGCACATTGAATAAATTGATACACATGAAAATACAGTGGAAGTTAGATGATGAAGTTTACTGAAAATCAATGTGCA